AAAAGAGAAAATTACATGAAGGTGGAAGGAACACCATTAAGGAAGAAAAGTGGGACTAGGAGGAGAACAGAAGGTCACAAGAAAGGGCAAAAGGATAGCTACAGACAAAGTATACGCCATGCACATGTGGAAAGTCACAGTGAAAGCCATTCATTGACACATCTCATACGTAGGAAGAGGTGTACAATAAACAGGAATGTGCTTGTCATTATTTGACCCAGTGTTTATATATCTGGCTTCACAGAAATTCACTGACAAAATAACATTATTTATAATACCACAAAAAATGTTCAGAGACTGCAGTGGTAGCAATCAGAAAGGGCTAGTTCAATTATGTTGCTAACATAATGAAATTCCTCTCACCACTGAATAAGGTGAGGCATCACTGCCTGAACATGATGACATCTGCCAGGGATGTAGCTCAGTGGCACAGTGCCTGCCCGGTCAGGGAGAGTCTTGGATTCGATGCCCCTGCCTAGCACCAAAGAAAAGAGCACCTCTCGGAATAAGAAGTACTATAGAGGAAAGCGAAATATCGGAACATCTTATCACCACAATCCTTTGTAGAAAAGATGTTTATGAAAAATATATATTTCTGAAGTATGTATTTATTATCTCTAGAATAATTCATAATAATAATTAACATTTGTTATGTCTGAATGAGGGTATTGGATAGATATGCCACAGAGCTAGGATGTTTAGTTTCTATGATGCCCATTTTTTGAGTAATTTAAGTTGTATATATTGCACTTATTTTACCTATATAAACATATATATATATATATATATGAATAAAATATGTAGGAGATTAGCTGTCAGTAAAAAGTTCTGATAGCTCTACATAAGAAAATATGAAACTCAACTTTTTAATTTGAATAATCAAGATAATCATTGAGATATTTGTGTTGTGATATGAAAGTATTAATTATAGAATTTAAATATTATTTTCATTTAAAACAATTGTTGACACCTGGAGATAAATCTAGCTTACTGAAATATCTGTTGTGTATTTCCTTTCATTATTGAAATCACTGATGGAGGAAATAGGGGTGACCTATTCGTGTGTGTTTTATTGGACCTTATATCCAATTTTTCAATAATGTTACTCATGGTCGTTAATAAAATGAATGAGTGGATTTTCCTGTGGTCAAGTGATTTAGTTATTTAGAACACCAAATTCAAAAGCTTCTTCTGAAGTAGTCACAGTAGTAAGAAAAAGGATTCTGGAAGCCAAGTTTATATTTTTTAATACTTTTGCATTGGAGTAATTTCATTGTTGATGTGATAAAGTTCATAAAATTAGGATTTTTTCACAGAATATTGGAAAGTCTTATATGTTGTATATTTATGTGGTCATTAAATAATATTTTAAGTCATGTGAGTTAGCAATGATACAATTCAAACTTATATCAAAGTAATTTTTAATGTAGCCATGTAACATATCCAGAAAGATAATATCAAAAGAAGTTACAGTTATTTCTTTTATTATTTTGGATTAGTTACAACATGAAGAAGCTATATATTCTTTATGTTTGTCACATAGAGCTTATTAAACAAGGCAGGCAGCATGAAAAGAAACATTCTAATATTTTTATGTCTGTATATCAGGATTAGAAAGATATTCCTTTGTCACTAGAAGAATATGTTTTAAATAGAACAATAATAACTCTACCTCGAGCAATCATCGTAGGCAGCCACAGAACTATGTTTTGTAATGTACAGAAGATATTTAAATAAATATTAAAATAAAAATTTAATAGAACAGAATAGATGGTACACACTGATAAGCAATCATTTTTGTGTAGGCAAGAATAAAAATAGATATTTAGTTAGGATACTACAGAGTTATTTGGTGTGTCTTCAACTTCAAGCCCCATTGTACAATAAAGTCTTGTAAGTACAGAAGGTGAAGAAAAGTCCTACAAATTTGAATTGAATTTGAATTGCCTTGGAAAGATGTTTGATTTTTAGATCAATAATCCTAAGAATTAAAAATTTTGCGCTTATCCTGATATGAACATTATACATTGTGCATATGACAGAAACATCACAGGGGACCACACAACCATGTGCTATTTTATTGTCAACTTTAAAAAGTGATTCATATTGAAAAATATTTCTTAGAAACATTAAAATTGAGTGCTTACCCCTCAACATTTATAGAATTCCTGTGAACACTTTAAATCTGCTAAAATACATACTTATGTGCAAAGGGCGCAAACAACAATTAGCATGTTAAACAACGCACAAAGATGCCACTGACCTAAAATCTAACCATTTGACTCAAATACTTGAGGGAGTAAAAATGCTGAGTGAGTGAAATCGCCAAGACAGGTAATAAAGTAATAACCTAGGAACCCCCGGAGGAGCGCCATCAGATAAGCTCTCAAATAAATATAATATGGGGAAGATGTCTATGCTAAGTAAAGGTGAAACTCATCTCTTATTCTGTGGGCAGGGAGTCAAGGGGTTATAAGAGGTTGAATTGAATAAAAGGATTACATAAAAAGGTGACATTTAAGCACCATGAAAATGGGGAGCATTGCAGGGTGTGGCCTATGGAGAGAACAGGGCCCAGGCAGGGTTTCGTCTGTGAAGACCTTAGTCTTTCTGTGGAAAGGAAGAACTGTCAGCCTTTATTTTCTTCTAGCTGCATAGCGTTACTGGAGACTCAACTCATCAAGTTCTTTTAGAATTTATAAAAGCTTTATTTTAAAGTTTTTGTATGTATTAAAAATACTAAATTCTTAAACAATCCCATATTTGTACTCATTTGCAGTAATGGATAGCTAGTGTCTAGTCTAATGACATTGTGTTTTAATATTTCTATTTATGTAATAATATGCAAATCTAAATGAGAGATTAACTATATTAATTGAATGATTTAATGCAGCAGTGATCAAAATATAGACATATTGCAATAACTAAAACTCAAGTAGAAAAATTTAAGTGAATTGAAAATCAATGGGCTTGCTTTATTGCATAAAATATACGATTAACCCTTATATTGGATGATTTTTTTTTTATCAGCATGAAGATATCTTATTTCAAAGTTACTAAAGTCAATTTATATCTCTAATCCGTTGCCATAAAAAGCAATTCTGAAATGAGTTAGGTTAATTACATGAGGACATAAGCATTGTTCCTATATTTTCTTACAAAACATAAGAGTAATCCAAGGAGATTACTTTCACTTTAGAAAAACATTGTAATTGGTTTATCATTTACGTGATTTTCTAAGTTTAATCCATAATAGAAAACATTGAATACATCACCATCTTACCATTTTGTTTAATGATTTATTAGGCTACTAGGTACATAAACTTTCACAAGTGATTATTTCCTGTTTTTAAAAATATAACCCATGTTATTATTACTTATTATTTACCACTATATTTTTCTGGGATGGAAATTCTTGTCTTGCTTACCAGCAAACTACAAATATGGACTACAAAAGTTTTGGTCTAAAAGAATACAACACAAATAATCTCCAAAATTGAAACATAGAAATTCTAAATATCACCTCAAAGGTCATAAAAATGAGAGAGAGGCAAGAAGGAAGAAACAGATTAAGAACTCTAAGAAAGAGTACAATAAGAATAGAGTTATTAAAATGTTAATAATTATTTCAAATTTAAAATAATAAGTAGAGCCCTTACTACTGTATGAATAAAAAGGCAAGAAACAAGACATACTTAGGATCTTAACCAATATTATATATAAAGCCTATATAAAATGATATTCATATTTGTGTAGCTGTACATGCAAGAAAGTTATCAGCTAAGGAAAAAGGAAAACAAAATTGAGACTGCAGCAGTGCACAGCTACCGATACAATAAAAGAATATGATTCTTTCCAAGATGAAGAAAGGAAGGAAGGAAGGAAAGGAAGGAAAGGAGGAGAGAGGCAAGAGAAAGGAGGAAGACAGACAGGCAGGTGGACAGTAAGAAAGGAAGAACAAAGAAGGGGAAAATAAAATTCTTAATTAATAATCAAGGAAAACCAAATATAAGGCACTAGTGAGACAGTCATGCAAAGCAGAACATGAATAACCCATTCAAATTGTTGTGTTTATATAGCATAACTGAGCTGTTGCTAGGACATCTTAAAGTACAAAACTCATTTAAGCACTTTGGGGGAAGTACTAAGACAATCTGAAATGCATCACACAGAATAATTCTTCTGTCCCTGTAAACTTCCCACCATGCATTTGGGGACAAGTAGTTAATGCTGGCATGCCGAATGCTACTTTACTCGCACAAGCAACTTTAAGTTTCATAATTTCATTTATGTAGGCAGGGCATAAAGGAACAAGACCATAACTGATTTTCTCTAACTCGCACTGTACCTCCAAGCTAGAACCTGCATCTAACACAGATTTGATCAAAAGACTTCAATTTCCAGAGAAAAAACAGATGCCTAGCTCTGAATAACCAGGGTTGTTGCTTTTTTTTTTTTTTCAGGAAAAAAAAGAGTTACTATGCAGTGCTTCGCTTTGCCTGCACTATACTTACTTTAACCCAGAGCCAGTCCCCAAACATGTCCCAACAGCCACCTGTCATGGAGGCATAAACACGTCGATGCATTCAGGAAGTGATAGACATGATAGATGGTACAAACTAAGTACTAAAAGCACCAAGATTTGGATTAATGCAAATACAGCACTGTATCTTACAGATACTAAAAAGCCTGATAACACATTGTCAGAGAGAAGATGTCACACATTTTACTATTACTTCTTCATATGTGTAGTTTCAATATTTTGCAATATTGAGAATATTTTTAATTTATATAAATCATTTCCAATAGAAGCTGTGTGATTATCAAATAATTCCCATTAAATTACTTCCCTGTTCTATACTGATAAGCTAGTTCTGCTGCATTCCTAATAAATAATTCATTGCTTGAACCTATAATAAAGTCACATTGTAAATCTTATACCAAAGAAAAAGCCTCCCAACTCTTTATTACCTACTGAGTATTTCAACACGATCTGTGTGTTTTTTTCAGAAAAGTGTATTTGAAATAGTTCCAAATTAAATTATACAAATACAGACAGCAGGAAAGCAGGACAAAAGGAAACCGTTGGCATTACGTGGACAACAGCACCAGGTCACCAGCAGTTGTTTCTGAATCCTGACTGTGGTTCGAGCTGATCCCAGTGTCTGAGTCTGTGTCGTTTGTATACATGTTACAGACCCTTTCAGTTAAAGGGGGTGTCTCCCCGCTGCTGCAGGGAGCCTCAGCTTCCTTCCCTCTGTTTTCCTTTAAATGGCATTCTTCTTTTTTGCTAATGTGCACGGAATTCAGCTCCTTGGCTAGGAGTTCATATTCCTTTGCTTTCATCTGAAGCAATGAGTCACTGTATTTAATCTCTTTCTGGATGCCACTCAAGTGAGAGTGGATTTTCAACCCAGCCTTCATACTTTTCTCCAAATCACACCTGACGTTGTCCAAACTTGGGGTTTCCGATTCACCTGCAGCCGCCCCTTCTGCATCTTCACTTATTCCAAAGCAAACACTTTTCACCTCTTCTTCAATTTCCGCTGAGAGCTTATCGATGAGCATTCTGTAATATTTCAGTTGCTCTTCCAACTGTACAATCCCATCACTTTCATTCAGGTCCTCCAGAGTTTGGCTTTCTTCAGACTGCGGGTCTACTTTTTGCTCAACTTCACTGAAAGTGGTCATCAAATACGCATCCTGAACGTAATTTTCCCCATTATTTTCTACACGATCCAGGTGGAACTTGGCTTCGCACTTTTCGATTTCCAGATCCAACTCCTTCATTCTCTGGACTTGCTGGTGGATAGTGTGGTCCTGAGAGATGATCAGATGAACTAACGTTTCCATGCTCTCACGATCGCAGGACACTGTGTCCTGCTTGATTTTAGCCAATTTCCGGAATGTTTTTCTGACAATTCTTTTTTGTTTATCTGGAGGTAACGTCTTCATGTAATTCGCCGGGCTGAGCTCTCGCAGCTTTTCTGTGTTCTCCACTAATTTGGCTTCGGCCGTCCTCCACAAGGGAACCGGAGAAAAGGCATCTGCTTTCACCAGCACAAACTGCATGTTAGGCTGTTCGTCTCCCCACGATTTCCAGAGCTTCAAGATCCGAGTGAGTGGAGGAAGAACCCGCTCTGAGCCTCTCCACTTCTCAACGATGCAATAATCGCTGGGCTTCCCCAGCAGGAATCGCTTCTCTCCGAAGGTAGCCTCGTGTTCCTCCAGCAGGGCCTGGATGACATCTGCAGAGGTGGTGCGCTTCGTTAGCCCGCAGACAATCTTTTCTTCTTGGCAAACCCAAACGACGATTTCCTTCTCTTCTGACTCCATGTCTTTAGTCGGAGATCTACAAGAAAAACAAAGCACATTATGTTTCTGTCCTCACCCAAGGAACCTGAGAAAGACGTTCTAACATTCATAACCTTTCTAGATTTTACCCTTTGTGAGAGATGAACTGTGAGGCTGTGATGACGTAAGAATGACATGATTTTTACCTAAGAAGAAAAAAGAAAGCGAGCTGTGGAAAGTATTTTGTCTTTATGTCCCAGTCGGTTTTGGAAAGAGTAAGTTGTCGTCAAAGAGAAGTGAAGCTACTTTTATTCCCCTTTGAAAGGTGGTCACGACGCTCTCGTGAAAGGTTAGCGTTAATACAATAATCAGGGAGAAAAGAAGTAGGAAGAAAATAAGAAAGACCAGTTGGTTTTCTTGGAACCTGGAGACTCGAAATGATCTAATGGAAACAAGAAAGCATAAGTAGGATGGCCTTAGAGAACTAAACATAGTGAGATACTGAAATGGTCACTGTCTCATTCAACAAATGTGTATTATATATCAATATGTGCCAAATACAGCTAAAGATATCAAATATCTGGTAATAAACAAAAACACAAGAAGATATGCATGGGTACCCAACTAATATACTGCCAGAGGATGGAAAATGCTATTTTCCACATAGCATAGTTTTCTACACTAACCCTGATAAATGTATAGACAGTGATTAGAAGAAGAAAATCTTCTATCGAGTGCTTTCAGGAGTGATTTCCCATGGAAGTGGCATCCAATGGGAACATAAATAAACTAATAAGAAACCCAAGGCAAGAATTCGAAGAAGTGAAAATAAATATATAGGTCATGAAGTATGATTAACAAACGAGAAAAAAAAATCGACAGGAGCTGGGGACAGAGGACAGGGAAGCTGGCAGTGGGCAATTGCTGGAGGAGAGAAGTCCAATGACCAGCAATGGAAGTGAAGGTGAGCAGCACAACTTTGCAGACTACGATAAAGGCATTAGATTCTTGTTCACATGTAATGGAAAGCCTTTAGAACAGGCTTAACCAAAAGAAACTTATGATCATGTTATGCTTTTCATGTGTTCGGCTTCCATTTTTGTAATGGATGCATTTTAAGTAGAATCAAGGAGCCTGAAGTAGAAGCCTATTATAGTAGTCTAAGAATATATATATATATATATATATATATATATATCCAAAATCCAATCTTGGGGCCTCTTCCCTATTGAAGTTGTCTAATATTCTAATCCTTTACTTTTTGTTATGGGGACCTGAACTCGGGTCCTTGTATTTGTCAGGCCGTCACCTGTGCTTCTTCCCTACATCTCTGGCCCCTTCATCTAAATCATAATCATTTCTTTAATGTTCTATCTTCAAGCACCAAACTCCAGGAAGTCACTACCCTATACATGTCATCAATATAAGACTTTGGGGATTAAACTGCTGCATAAATGTGGGGATATAAAGGATTATTGAAATCATAGCTCTGTGGTTAAGCAGATGGCTCTAAATAGTAGAGGAAAGATTAGTTTTCTAGGGTATAAGGAGCATGGAAATTCTATGATTCCCAAGCCATACTTAAAGAATTTTAAGATCTTATTTTCCACTATGAATCTAAATCAAACCGCTTGTCTTTTATGATACCTTTTAAAAAGAATACAAAAAAGTGAGTGAGATTAAATGAATTACACTCCAATGTGACAAGTGATGACATTAGATTTTTTGAGTAAAAAAATGTCTTGGGAAGGTGAAATTGAACTCATTTATCACATTATGTAATAATGTCAGAACATATATCTCCATGAAGCTCAAACCTAACACCCGTTTCCTGGCTTCTAGAATCTTGTAGCCTTTAGAATTTAATGCACTGCGTAGTGAGACCCTGAACAAAATACAAAAAAATAAAAAAATAAAAAATAAATAAATTCAAGCAAGAAATAGGGCTTCAGAAACTGCACTCTAAGGAGCACATTATCACAGCAAGTTTATGTATTTGATAAATTAGATATTTGAATTAAATTAGAAACAAACTAGTTTTTAAAAGAATGTTACTACCTCCATTAGCTTTGAAAGAAAAGGTACCAAAGTGCTCCACTAAAGTGTGAATTGGTGAAGGAAGGACTTCTCCCAGCATTCAGCGATGGAAGAAAATGCTGAAGAATGTGTTGTTTTCCGCATTTACCAAAATAAAATAAAATAAATTAA